TTGGATAATTACATCTACCACCCTCAACTATGATTTTTTCTTACACATCCACCCTTATGGTGCCAAATTCAACATAATCGTCTAGATTCCGTGGAATGTGCTCTAGTGTGTACTCGTTTTGTGTAAAAATACATTTTTCGATGCACCACAATCTAATATATACAAGCTAAAAAACACATATTATGATCATCTCGCTTCATAATGGAAAGTTCGAATGGGATAAAACGGGTACAATAGTGATAATATTCCATGTAATCTCGAAAATTACGCTAAATTTGAGGAGTTGAGGGGTGGTTGTAATTATCCAAACAAGAGGGGGGGTTTTGTAATTTGACCATACCTCAGGGGTGTTTGTAATCTACCCTTTTTCAATATCGTTTGACACGTAGCCGTTAAGTTTTATGTTTTGTTTTATTTATTTTTAATTTATTATTATTTTATTATTAACATGCGTTTACTGAGAGTCAGCATTTTAGGAAATCCTATATAATAGAACCTCACATTTATTTGCCTTTTGGACTTCAGTTTTCAGAGAGAGAGAGTAGAGAGAGAGAGAGAGAGTGGAGAAATCACGCCGTCGATCTGTGAGAGGAAAAGGAAATTAAAAAAAAAGAAAAAAGGAGATGTGGATTTTCGGAAGAAAAGGTGCGTCGGGGTATTCAGCGTGCTCTACGGCGGAGGAAGTTGCACGAGGAATCGATGGCTCCGGTCTCACCGCCATTGTTACAGGTCCTTTTCTTCACTTTCGTTCTTAAAATTTTTTGCTTTTATTTTTTTAAATTACTTTTTTATTGGATCATGTTTCTGAATTGTTTATGTGATTGAAGTTCTTAATTTATTGTTATATTTAATTCAAATTTTAGTTTAGCTGCCGCTACTGTGATTAGTGTGACGGCGGGGGTAAACTAATCGAATCGAGCGGATCGCATGTTTGTTCTAGTTTTTGTTTGAGACTAGAGCTCGAGTAGTTGAATTTTTGTACATATTATATATATTTTTTTGTAATTGAGCTCGAATTCGACCGAACTTCATAGCTTATCGAACAAAAATATGTGTTCAAGCTTGGTTCGTTGTTTTGACAAACGGAGCTCAAAAGAGATTTTAATTAACGTTCTCGAACTGAGAATCGAGTAGCTTGATTTGATTTTCAGCGCTGTGTGCGATATCTTAAAATAATAACTGTTCGGCAACATCATTTTCGTTTGATATAGTCAAAAACGAGCTTTCCAAAAAGAAATTCTCTTACTTTTGTAGGCCTAAAATGTTTAAATTTTAAGAATTGTAGTGGAGAGAGATTTCGGGTATAATATTCAAATCGAGTTACTTGATCTATTACAGTATTACATAATTAGAGATTAGTCTATTGGTATTTTAAATAGGCTCTTGATGCTGCTTCTATCTGTTGCTCATACATATCTGTTTTTCCAGATCGTGTTTCGATCCCTTCCAATTTATTGTGTACAATTTAAGGAATTATTAATCTATCTGCATTTAAAACAACGAATGGATCAACGTATAACTTGAAGCATAAATCAAACCAAAAATGAGTGATTCGATGTGAATTGATTGAACTGAAAAAAGTTAATGGTCTATGGGTTGTTTTAACAGAATTAAGTCGTTTCTTTCCTCAATGTTTATAATTTGGTGATTTATCTAATTTGCGTTTTCAGGAGCATCAAGTGGAATTGGGACAGAGACTACACGAGTACTCGCATCGTGTGGCGTTCATGTAATTATGGCAGTTCGCAATTTGGAAAGCGGCAAAAAAGTTAAAGAAACAATTATCAAAGAGATCCGTGATGCGAAGATTGATGTTATGGAACTTGATCTCGGCTCTTTTGCATCTGTTAGGAAATTTGCATCGGAATATAAATCGTTGGATCTTCCCTTAAACCTCCTCATGTGAGTTGCCTGTTTTTATACATGTTCGTTTAATCAGGGTATTCTCGTAAATATGTGACATATTTTTTCAATTTAGTAATAATGCAGGGGTTATGGCCCCACCTTTTATGCTCTCGCAAGACAAGATAGAATTGCAGTTTGCGACTAACCATCTAGGTATGCTTTCATGTAGTTAGTCCTAATTCCAAATATCAAAATTTAGCTGCTAATATAAGGATCAATTTATTGCTAAGATTCTCTGATTTATTGCTCTTTATATACGAAAAAAAATATTCAGCTTGTCCTTCCTTACTTTCGGCTGCAGGGCATTTTCTTTTGACTAATCTTCTACTGGATAACATGAAAAAGACTGCACATGAGAGCCAAATAGAAGGAAGAATTGTCAATGTCTCGTCAGAGGGTCATCGCTATGTGTATCGTGAAGGGATTCGTTTTGACAAAATCAACGATAGTTCAAGGTATGTTTTGATCAAGTTTGCAACTCTCCTACATATACAAGTAGTCGCAGATAAACGTGTGTGTGTGTGTGTGTGTGTGTGTGTGTGTGTGTGTGTGTGTGTGTGTGTGTA